AATCAACCGATCTTAATGAAAGAACGGATTGATAGACCCGTCCTGGAGGGGGTGAGCAGTGCATTACCAGTCATTTCACAGATATATGAGGTTCGGTATGGCGGTAATCGGAATATACATCTGTTCTCTCACGTTTATGTGTAGCAGGACGATGCTTCTGGCATAACTGTGAATAGTTTTCGCAAGATTTTGAAGCATATTGACAGTAATGAAGTAACTCAAGAATTGATACAGAGAGAAACGTGTAGGCGTGTGAAGAAGGAAGGCTATATCTCAGTAACCTTTTGGTACCCACGTTGGTGGTTATCAAGTAGTGAGATTCAGATTGCGGCATTAATAAGAGTTCCAGGTATGCCAGGTCACGCTGGTCAAGTGACTCAGTTTCGACAGGCCAATGCCACTGTGTGGGTGCGACTATATACTAACCTGATATGCACGTACACGCACAGCTACTAACTCTCGGCAATTCGATATCGGTCTCTACCCTTAATCTGCAGGCGTACATGAGTCATGGGAATGTTGATTAGTTCAATTCTGGTTAGCATTAGCAAACGGGTAAAGGGGAACAGAATCTGGAATAGTGCGCAAGATAATATTATATGCACACTGCGAAAAACGGACCCCATCCTGATCAATGATGAAAGTGTACACTTAAGTTGTAACAATTCCTTTTTCCCCCGTTAATACCTTTTCACAGTAACCACAAGTAGAAATCTGGTGTTATAAGTTTAACTTGTATACACAACAACCGTTTCAAAAGGTAAGACCCTAAATACTTCCAGATTGTTGAAGACCCCAACGAAGCTATTCTAATGATATAAGGCAATAAACAAGACATACAGAGCGAATGGGGACTAGGGTTTTAAGGCCCCAACCGCGTTCTTCCCCGGTCCAAAAGGGTCGTTGAGCCGGGTACAACCGCTTGGTGAACCGTTGATTTTGACAAGCATTCCCGTTTGGGCATACGCTGGGTAGGCATTCGTAATGTAATTCACGATTGATGCAGTTGCTACTTGGTCCACAGGGTTCCGTGTCCGAGTTTGGTTGGCATTCGCATCGAGGAGCTTCAGATGGATCAGTCAATCGATACACGCGGACAGAACCCAAGGGCCAATTAACCTAAATTCAAAGGGAATGAAGAATACATTGAGTGGCATATTTTTATTATGAAATGAAAATAAGTCTAAATAAGTACACGTGATAATCTGCGATAGTAGATAAAAATTTGCACACCTTGCTGATAATACGATTGAATTCGTTACAATAGCTTATCCCGGGGTCTGAATTGCGAACTTTGAACGGTACCGCAACAACGGGCTTCAATGGTAACCAGCTTTGATCGGGCTCACACTATTACAAACTCATGAAGAGCTCATATGTCCTGTGATTCAAAATATAACCCCAAGTTCTTATGACTTAGATGTTCACTCGTTTCGTTATTCCTCCGAAAGTAATGTATAACTGAAGGTTTGCATTTAGCAGCCTAACAAAAATGATACAAAAGATTAATTTAAAGAAAGACCATCCCAGAGGCTTCATCAAGAATATTCCTCAGCTTAACAACCGTTAGTGGGTATCCCACACGGGATTTGAACTCTGAACTCCTTGTACGGAAGATGTGCGTGTTTTCACTGCACCAACTGGTTCACATTGGAGAATATCGCAAGAGGATAGTAGCTGTTAAAACTATGTTCAAACTGAAGTTTGCGACAGGTGTCTAAGGAGGGCTAAAAACATTTACGATAAAAAGCGAATCAACAGTGAAGAAAACATAAAACCGTCATCTCCGAAACATTGTTAGGATGGAAAACAGATCACCCTGCGTTCCGCCAGCGGCTAAGGTGACAAAAATGCAAACTCCCAGTCTCCTTGAGTAGTGCTGTAACGTACCAATTCTTTTCAACATCGACGGCCAGACCGTGACTATACGCTGACCGCACGACTACTACGTGAATATTGCTCGCTTGTCTGAAGCCGGATGAGTCAGCTCCGGTTCTCGTAGCATCAATTTCCCGAGGCTGATAGCCATCAGTGGTTGTACCACAGTGATATAGAAACTTTAGGTCAGAAAAGAGTGGCGTTGGTTTCGAGTCACCGCGCCAACGCCATTATACCTTCGTGAAAACCGATATCGTCAAGGATTTCAGTGGTGTGATTCAAAGGTCAAACCGTCAATCTTATTGTGATTGCGATCTTTTTTATTAAAAGTCTTAGTGTGATGAAAAGCGGACCGAGAAGGCTCCATAGCCACGAGGACCTGCTGTTCAGTGATGCAAACCGGTAACCCCAAGCCCCGAGACTTGGGGTGGAGACCCGCATAAGGCCCGACTGGGTTAGACGTGGTACTGAACCGTACGACAGTAAACCTGCCTACCACCACAGCTGGTTGCTGTGGGGGGCTCCAACCTCGAACCATACGGTTGAAATTATGCCCGTGAAAGTAACTAAACCATTGCGCCAACATTACCCTACACTACGTCCCAGCCGTCTCATCTGACAACACTGTGAAGGACAAGTTTTATGACAGACTTCAAAAGGCATGTACTTATCATAGTGGGTAACTGAGACGCTGAGATGCACAGAATGCTTCGAAACGACAAATTTTATGGCAGTTTGGGATGGGCCATCGCTGTGAAAATGGCCACAAACCAATGAACTTTCCTAATTTTCATAAGTTGTACATAACCAACACTCGATTTCAGCACAGAAGAAGCATCTTCTTGCATGGTACTCTAACAGTGGTAGAACAACGCACCGAATCGACTGCGTGCTGATCCGGTCAAACTGGATTTCTTCCGTAGACGATGGCAGATCAAATCGCGGCGCCGAAGCCGGACGCAAAGGTGGCTCAGACGATGTACTGATACGCACAACGCTTCTTCTTCGTTTGGCGATCCGCTTAAAGACCAAACCGCTGAAACCGTATCAGCGCAATGAGAAATCGCATGAACTGCTCGACATTCAAATGTGGCTAACAAATAACGCATCAACCACATGAGTGAAAATGACTGGTTCGGTCGACATACAATGGGCTAGATCAAAAGAAGCGATACAAAAAGCTGATCTCAAAGCGCTGCTACCAAGAGTGTATATCGGAGGACACCATTCCGGACTCGAACTTGGCCACAGACGCTCGGTGAGCTGGCTGTCGTAAAAACTAGCGCCTCAGGCGCGAAGCAACCCGCTTTGCAACTGTCGGAGTGAAACCGCCACCAAGATGGAAAGTGCAGCTAGCGCACGTCATTTCGAAAACCTTTGCCACCTTATACAATCGGTTGCCCGTAAAAGACCGTCCATTCAATGTCTTCTGCGCGGCGCGCTAATACCCAACATTGAGTGTAACATAACTAGATGGATGGAGCCCTTCAGTTAGCTACTCAATCGTCCTTAACCTCCTTGTACGATATCGACTGTAATCCTTCATCCTTACAGATAAAGTGAGTGATCGGTCGGTCGAGGTCTTGCAAGGGCCCCAGAAGATGGAATCCCATAGAAAATCTGTAAGCAATGGCTCATAGTGATCGCTAAGCAACTTTATATTCCGTTCTGTTTGGAAGACCGAAAAATGTCCACCATACTGGAATACTTCGGTTCTGCTTCCATTCCTAAAGATGAGTGACAAGATGATATGGGCATATGGGACATAGACGCATTCCAGTAGGTTTCCGTCCCGGCACAGGATGCAACAACCACCTTTTCGTCCTTCGGAGAACACAGGAAGACAGCCACAAGTCCCAATGCGGAGCTTCATCAACCTTTGCACCGTATTCCACTCAGCAGTAGATAACGCTGGCAGGTGGCGTCCAAGTCAAGCTGGTTAGTCTGATACGATCCTATTATGCGAGTACAAAAGCTCGTGTCCGGTGAAGAGTCATATTCGTTCGAACTGAGTTCAGGAGTAGGAGAAAGATGTTCGCTATCTCGTTTTATTCAACTGTCGATTGGCCCATGAATCAGGCGATGAAGGCCATCAAGGCGTCCAAGATTCCATTGACTGTTGGATCACCGACGGTGAATTCGCTGATGAAGTAGTAGTGTTCGGAGAAGGAGTGGTCACCTTGCAAACAGCTCTCAACCGCATCAATGGCTATACTTCATAGATCGGCCAACGCTGCCAAACCAAGATGTTTATGAAGCCCCTTGTTATACGGGACGATCTCTATAACTAAATAGTCAACTAGCAGTAAATGTTTCCACCATTCTACGCAACGGATCAGCGGCGGATGATGTAAAGCGACGCAGAGACACGACTCGCATAGCGTTTCTACAGCTCAAAAATACCAGCCGGCACAGAAGAGACAGCGTACCAAAACTAAGCTCAGGGATGTTTCCACAGTAGTCTGTCAAGTCCTACGACATGGCTGTGAAACTTGGTCATTGTAAGCTGAGGCTATCATAAGATAATATTTATTCGCTGGTGCATCAGGTACACGTTGAGGGTAAATTGGTGCGACGAATCTCGAAAGAATACATTAGAAACTTCTGCAGCATCGCCTATCTGTCAACACGTTTCGGTTGTAGCCGATTAAAATAGTCTGCACAGATCCTCCGCTTTGGAAAATATTATCCTAATACCGTATCTTTGCCCAGACAGGAGCCGCCCACGGAGCGAAATAAAAAGATCTGTCTGGATACTGTACACGAAGACAGATGAAGCTGTTCTTCGGATACTGTGCGGCGCTTATCGGTCCAAAACCAACTGGATCAACGTTTGCAAGGATCTTACCACCGATCGCTGAACCTGGGCGGCCGAGATCCGAGAGGTTCATGGGGACGGCTTATCCTCACTAAAGAGCCAACCGCAGCAAAGTAAAGGACCTACAGTTAATCGCAATCAGTTACAGCAATGAAGCTCATCAACGCAGAACAATTATATCATATGACATCACTGACCGCAGGTCTGGTCGAAGAATCGAGAACCTGAACCTGAACCTCAATGAAGTGAAATTTCGTCATACGGGCGCGTTTGATTTTCTGTTTCATCAAACAATTCCTCTTTAAAGGAGCGAACATATGACGAGTATATGACAAGCGTAAATCCGATTATGGCCGGACAGTGAATTTAGCTTAGATAATGAGACCAGTCTTTCCGAAACCAATGAGCGTTCGACGATGTCCTGCATTCCACGTCACATTAAAGGAACATATGCTCTGTCGGAGCTCCTGACGGACGAATGAGACCGGGCCAAATGGAACTGTCTATAAAGAGTAACATAGGGCTACAAATAAAACTCCACTACAATTGTCATGAGTTAGTCTAAACTACTTTTAAAAAATTTTCTTCGGCAAACAGTAATTTTAAGGACAAATGACTAAAAGACACTCCAGTTCCGTAAAATGATAGCAACAAGAGGATCGGCGATGAAGTGTATTGGCACTTCGAATATTCAAGACCTAGCCGCGGCAAAAACTAAACAAATATGACCAATGGCAAAAAGCCCATCAATGCAGATTGTGCAACTACAGGAATCATCGTAGTTGAGTGAAACGAAAAAATAACGATTTTGAAACTAATATCCGACAGTTTCCTACAATCCTACAAACTACTGAAACTACTCCGAAAAGCAGTTGACATACCTTTATCGGCTTGTAGTAGTCTGGCCGCCTAGTACGACCGAGTAGTTGATTGAACTTCTCACGACGTTTAGACCAACCATCAGCGGCTTGCTTGACTGCTGAAGAATAGACTAACTTCCGCTGAGCTAGCAGAGTGGGATCAATGGAAGCGTTTTGACTGAACTTCCGACGAACCGATTTCTTTGATTGAACACGAGCAGGCCGTGGTCGCAAGTTGGGAAATGGTGAATGTTGCAAACCTGTTTCGTCTTTATCTGGATTGGTTTGGTCTTTATCGCCTACTTTGCTCAATTGTAGCAACGGATCTTCGTCCTCGCCATCGTCTTGATAGGAATTACACCGTTGTTCATGATTTCCCATCAGCTCGTCTTCTTCATCCCCAGTGGAATTCATACTGCAAGCGACGAAGGACATTTGTAAAGATCACGAAAATGTATAACCAAAACGTAGCCAGAAAAAGGACTATTGAAAAGTTCATCATACCTAGAGTCAGCACTACGCTTGTCATCACCCTCCTCGTAAGGGAACAACCGCGCTCGAGTACTCCAGACGACGATTGGTATCAGATCATCACCCTTTGAATGAGTAGTTAAGCCAAACAGCCTAACTGGAAACAGACCGAGCGGATGTTCAGTTGGGTTAGAAACCTGTTGACTGATTTTGTCCACAGCCTTGTATGCGAAAGAACCTGGCTGTGTTTCAACTGCAATGTTCGATTCAGATAAATGTCGCGGGTGTACGATCTCACCGGGCCACCAGTACATTCCGGCTGTTAAAGAGGCATATTCGTTCCGTAGGGTTGCTGCTTCGTCGTCACTTGAATCGATGTCCACTTTCGACACATCTGATTTTGCCACATGGGGTTGATAAGTGTTGAGGTTGGGAGGCAGACGAGACCATACGATTTCACCAAAGCGAGGAAAACGACCGCCAGAACAGTCTTCGCACATGAATTTATCAGGAATCTGAGTGGGTGGAAAAAAACAGTAATGCATGCTTGGTAGTACACACAGTAATGGCAACATAATGGTTAAAGCAATGGTGAAAGTAAGGTAGAAGAAAAGAGGGAAATATAGAAAAATAACATCAAACAGAAACTGCTATAATACAGCCTTCAGTCAAAAATATCAATAGGCAAAGACTAAAACTGAAAACATTGATGCTAACTGAACGAACCGAGACATGCAACTAAATATTATCATAATTTTTAAGTAACCTTGATTTACAGGACAGAACAGAATAAAACGGAGTTACATAAATTGGTGGTCCCTCCAGGCACGTCTTAGGTTGTCTTCCATTTTCTCCGCTCATTGGCAGTAACAACTGTCGGATTTCTGCCCATTCCGCTTTTGAACTGATACCGAAGTGTTTCAGTAAAATTTGCCCAAATCTAATGCTTAAAAGTCAGATTTGATATCCAGAGACAACAATATGGGCGGTGCTTAAAATCCGGGTCAAAGAAAAGAATCGTGTCAATACAGTGATCCACGGACGGTATACAACAGCTTTGCGAAAGAGTAAAAACATAAAATGTGTGACCTGCAACATGACACACGACATTGTCAGTTCATGATTACAAATAAAATCATCAATAATGAGCACGAATTCAAAGAAAAATAAATGTAAAACAAAACATACCTCATCAATTTTGAGGCATTCCTGATGAAACGAAGCTGGACAGGTCTCACAGCAAATAATACGACCCCCTTTAGAGCAAATGAAACACCAGGAAACGTTTGTCGGCTGAAACATTGTCACAAGGGTGGACGATGGTAACGGAACAAGCAATGCCTGAGAAACATTTCCAAATGCGGTGTCATCTAAAGCGTGTCGTGGACAAATAATCCATTCATGAGCAATCTGATAAGGAAAAGGAAGAGCAGTCAATAAATAAATAAACGTTTTTATTTTGTTTTTTGTGTTTATTAATTGGTGAAATGTACAATGAACTTTCAGGGTGGGGTGGGGTGGGGCGGCGGTCATACAAAAGTTGCCTAGTGACTTCATTACAAAGAGCCTGTACATTAGAAGACATGCTAACCACAACGAATCAGGAGAAAAAAATTTTCCTTAAGACTCATTCAAACGACACATACGATAAAAGAGATTCAGAGGCCATTCATGAAACAAGTGTGTAGCAAGAATGCAAGCAGTAGATATAGTATTGCACCAGCAAGATGAAAATCAGGAATGTGATTACGATCGTTGAACAAATTATTCTCCATCTTGAATCAATAGGATATGCACAAACAACGACAAAGACGACAGTTCTATTGTTTTACATCACTTGAAGCAAACAAGATAACGAACGCTTCTGCGCAATAGTTGCATGCTTGATTCAATGATGTGACATTGAAACGAATAAAAATAGTCGAAGCGAAATAGACAGAGCACTGCTGAAGACAAAGAGCATTATTATTATCATCATCATCAACGTACAGCGAGATACAGAGAAGCAAACTTCACTGACCGATGTCAAGCTCACAATGTACACAAATTAAGTGACAAAGTACCAGATGGAGAGGGATTGGACCTAAGTGGATGTAGGGGAAAGAAAGTGAACCTCCATGGCCAACGCACAGTACAAAACCTAAGTATGCATACACAACTTTTCAAGTATTACGACCAGATAAGAAATTATAAGAACGCTACTGCCGTTGGTTAGTAGCCAAATACTTCGGCATTGCCAACCACCCACTTGCAGAGTCGCTCAGACCCCAACCTGGGAAACGCGAGACACCAATCCACCTATTCGCTATGTGAATTTCTTCATGCCTCGTTTCCACGTCATCTGTTGACATCCATGTGGTTTCTTCCAACCTAGAGTCGCAACTGTGAATGGCAACGGTGCACGACTGGGCATGCGCAAGACGTCCTAAACGGTGAAACCTACTGATCTGAATTCGATGGGATAACGAATTTTCCATCGAATTATTGCTAAATACGTCACGCTTTACCGCAGAGTTGCTTACACGCTGGCGCCATCCAACCGGCGCCAAACTGCGTAAGCACCGGCAGTCGAAGGCTTCTAGACGACGAACATCTTCCACGCGCAAACTTAGGGTCACGCAACCATAAAGCAGAACTGACCTCACATTACCACAGTATGCACTACCTTCCAGTTTCAACGAAATATCACGTCTGCACCAAAGGTGTTTTGGTCCTGCGTAAGCTGCTTGAGCCTTGGAAATGCGGGCCGTTACTTCACTGGCTATGCTACCGTCACTTGTCACGCAACTACCAACATATCATTTACCTATCAAGAGAGAGGCAAGCCAACTATAGCTACAGTGGATCTGTACCGCTGATTGGACGGAAAAGATTGCAAATGTTACCCATAACCGCAGCCTTATCGATCTCAATACAATGAGCTAATGACCATATCTCGCATTTATTCCTCGAATTCTTGATGAACTGATGTTCAAAAGATTTGATTGTGGTTGATTGACTGATTGTAATGTCAACCGTAGTATCTGGAGGAATGGCTTTGAGCGCTCAACAAAACATCAAAGGTCGAGGAAATCCATCACTGTTTTGAGAGACGATTCGTTAGCTTTATTAATTTGCTGACAATGCTCGATGAATCGTTCGGTGGGTAATCGAATTAAGAGACCCGGAGAGAACTCCAATGCGAAGACCGAACCGCAGCTGAAGTTAACACAACACTGCAGGCATCTATCTTTTGGCAGCTTTGATAGGTGGTTTGCCAGATATATAAAGAATGAAGTTTATAACAGCGCACGGCCCCTATCCACGGCTGTTGACCAGTGAGAGCACCAGTTTTGAAAAGCTTTTGATTATCATCAGCTTATAGAAATATGGTCCGGTTGTATACATTGGGGAGAGGAGTGAGGGATTTGCAAAGTGAGACCGTATCGATTTTTGGTGCCTGACGGGAAAATTCGTAATTAAAGAGAGATCCCCATGGTCCGTTCGATCGTTTAGAGTTACCTTCTCCAAGGTTCCCACTTGAGTATTTGGGAGACTGTGTAGTTGAGCAAACACTTGGTACCGGTCCGGAGAGGACACGTTAGGAAGCATTTTTAATTTCCGGTGAAGTACGCGGCGCCCGTGTGTGGGTTAGAATCCCACCGAGGCGACTGAACTCTTCACAATTTCAACAGGAGTACAATCAGTTGGAGAAAACACGACTACTAACCAACGGTGAACCTTTCTGTTAACCTCCAACTAATTGTCGAGAAGTTGAGCTCATAATAAATTGATGACTGGAGAAGCGAGTGCATGTTGGCAACATCGTGAGTGTTAGACACCGAATAGCTGGATGCATACAGAGAGAACATTCAGGATGTGGTTCCATCTGAAGAATGTGGTATGATAATTGAAGTGGATTCTGATATGCATATTTCAGAGACAGAGTATATGTTGAACTCCAAAGGATTTTATTGTATTGTATTGCTCTAGATAAGGCAGCTTACTGACCGATCTGATAATGCGCGGATATCCAATGCATTCAAGCTATAAGTGCATCTGGGTCTGGGAAGACCAGTGAGTTTTGATTTACTCACTTTGGAAGGTAATCTCTGAATAAAGAACTCTACAGCGCGGGAGCACGGTGTATATGCTGAATAGCAAGGGTGGCACAAAGGACTAGACAGGTCAGAAGTTCATGAATACCTAGATGGTTCAGTTTAGTTTAGTTTTTACAACCATTAACCATGCACTTTCGTGTGCCGGTTTTGGTTGCTGTCTTTTGGCCGCTCATCTGGATAAAAGAGAAGGATGAAGATTGGAATGTCGCAATCCAATAGAAGCGGAAGATAGAGAATACATATAGACTGGCGGTACTGTGACCAAACAGTTATTTGCGCTGTCAGCCTCTTTAAATCAGGGAAGAAGGAAATGATGGTTCTGAGAAAGAAACATCGGCGATCCAGAAGTTAACGAAGAGTGAATAATATGGTACATGTACCCTTGATCAGATAAGAAAAAAGCACGATTGTCATCCGTGAGGTGTTGGCTTGAGGTAGACAGTTGAAGGGGTAGTAGTAGTTAAGTACACGTTTATCTGGGTTTACATTCATCAATGCAAATCAGTAATCCTCTGAAATATTTATCTTTGTTCTGAAATCCCCAAACAATAAGAAAACTAAAAACAGTACCTCAACTGCCTAAATTATTATAAACCGAAATGAACTTTTGACAAAATGTAAAAGGCTACAAAAAACGAACCTGCTTGCTTCCAGCTGGAAGGCACCAATCGCCTGGGTGATATGCGGCAGGGCAGAGCAAACAGCGTATGAATGTCGGTGTGGGCCTGGGGAGGGTACCGGGTGTTTCAACAGCACAAGCAAGACAGGCGTGTGCTGGGCACCAAAAGGAGCCGGCGCGTCGATCGCGAACCACCGTGGAAAATGGAGGCTTGCGTAAACAACTGGGATGGTACCAGCGGGAACAGCTTTTAACAGAACAACGAATCATTTGATCCTGCTGTGCCGAACCCTGCTTCACAATATCGTTCTGACATACTGCGGTATTTGCAATCGCATTGTGAATCGGTTCAGCTGAGCGTTGTGTATTATCATGATCAGTGGGAGAAACGTCAGACACTGAGGTGACAGAGCGACTACCGCTCGTGTTAGGCAAGGTCTCGAATGAGGATAGGGCACCGGGGAAAATTTGAGGGCACGGTTGGGTTGACTGCAAAAAAGACGAAGTGTAACTGTGACTAACTTTAATGTCAACTTTGTATTGGACGCAGTATTAGTTTGAGGCTCGTTGAAGACCAAAACCATCCGTATCATGCTGCTGAGTAAAATGACTATTATTAAATAGAATGAAAAAGTAGCACGGAATCATGTCATCCAGTGAACGTTTTTATTACAAACCCCGGTAAGATGAACAGTAGACGGGGCAAACCCCATGGTCACTAGGACCTACTGTTCAGTAGTAGAAAGCGGTGGCCTAAGCCCCGGGACTTGAAGTAGCGAACCACATAAAGGCAAGTTAGGTTAGGTGTGGTATTGAAATGGACAACAGCAAAGCTGCCTACCACCAAAGTTGGTGGTGGTGGTAATATTCGGCAACCAGACGGAGGAACCAGTGGAAAACAGTTTTTGAAACTAAGTAAATCATATAGAAAATAATCGGTTAATTTCAAGACCCTATAGATCGTTTACATTGCTTGCTCACTGCTATGGCTTGAACTGCTTCACCCGCGCCACCCAATTCAATTCACGAAGAAAACGCGGAATTGTTAATACATTGACCGCCAAAGAAACACTAAATTCAAAAAATACATCCAGAAGGGCCACCTGAAAATTGGTGCAAAAACGAACGAGCATATGTCTACGCCTCAGTACGGTCGGGGATGGGAATCTAGGGTTACATCTGGTCATTTTTCCCTCACATCTATCGAAATGCTCCCATATGACCAAGCGTTTCAAATAGCTTTTGCAAGGGTGTTTTCCCGCCAAAGTGAGAGGATGAAAAGCCGACATCCAGGGCCATAACCGGGTTGATGAACCCCTGTCAATTCACCGAGAGAAGTTGGATAAGAACCCTGTTTCCAAATCCACCAGGAAGAGGAGTACGAACCAGACACCTTCCTGGTTGTGACAGTGGTCACCGACTAGATTGGGCATTAGGGTGCTTTCGGAACCTTGGACGTTTCACCCCGTCCAAACGGCGTGTGATCCAATGAACTGAACACCGGATCCCAATGAACTGCGGTTTTCACTCAACACCCCGCTGCCTTGCCAAAGGCTCCGGTTGTGGATTCCTCAAGAAAATTCATCTGCCTTTACCCGGGTGACCTGGCAGTATTCATCCCACATGTAAATCATATATATTTGAATTAAACACATCAACGGGGTCAGAAGCATCACATCTGTTGATTATTTTCGTTAACTTCTACATATTTAACATACAGAAACCATGAAAGCAAATGCATCCTATGGTGTTATCGGTTAGACTTCACCACAAAGCAGTTTGGTTCCATACAATTTTCACATGCAAAAAGAAACCATTCAAGTGCTGACTTACACCGCAAATAAAGCAGCGTCGCAGATGCTGGAGGCACAAATCACAAGAGAAACCAACTTGGAAAAGCGACAATCCATTCGCATGCTCGATAGTGGAGGAGGAGGCCGAAGGCAGTTCAAGGTGTGCGTCACCTTCTGGGTGAGCACCATCGCCTGTATGGAGAACAAGTTTTGATTTGTGTAAAGGGGGCAGCTTGATCGATTTCGCACAACCTGGATGAACGTAATTCCCGCATCCACCAGCACAAGGGCGAATATCCGGATAACGATTCGATAAACCATCTGTTGTAGATACAGACAAACCCCCACAAGCGCCACCGTTTGCTGCGACTGCATTGGAGTCAATTGGTGGGGCGCATACTCCATTGCTATTGTGTTCACCGGGAAGACCACATGAGGAGCAAACGAATATCCCGCGACGAGAGATGTGAACAAATTGCAAATTTTCAAACTCGAAGCTCGTGGCAAGATCTCTCAAACGGACTCCATTTGTTTTCTGCGAACGTAAAGCGAATCAGCAATATATGGGTTAAAAAGTGGTACAATCAACCTCTAAAATTATTAACCCGAAAAATTAAATATGAACGGTATGTGCGCGTACAGCAAAAGCAGTGCTGGATAATTAGCCCTCGTAAAATTCACAGCTAGTGCAACATAGATTTAACCGAAACACAAATAACACGCATACTGATTCTACTATGAGCTCCGAAAATTGATGGGGTTTTATTGTGCATCGATTGACGTAGTTATTTGGATTTTTAGCGCACACATCACAGGCTGGTACCTGTTGATAGTCCATCAGGTTCAAACAACTGTGTTCATATGAAAAAAGATTAACTTTCCATTTTATGTAGTCCTGCGTAAGTCTGGTACGTACACATGCATGTATATGCACATATATATGTATAACCCAGAACATTTCGCTGCTTGTTTATAGCGTGCAGTGTCAAACCCCTTTTATTTTTTATTTTTTCGGGAATGGAAAAGCCTATGCACACTACTGACTTCGACTCAATTCCACATCCCGTAGTGCCTCTAGCCAACGACAACCTCAATCTTTAGGGCTTCAAACGGGAAGTGCTGACGGAAGCCAGATTCAAACAGTTTTTTTCAACTCTCTACTGAACGGTATACGTAACCCACATTACTGTTTCTTTTGGTCTTGTCCGATTTCTGAAAATTACGCAGTGGAGGGCCACACAGGTATTCGCAGGACACATCTCAGACGGTGAGGTGACCTCATCGTCTTATCATGCGATGCTCCCACCGTATGGGTGCGATGCTAAATAGACGTCGATTGTCGGAAACAGATAGACGTTGATCATGATATGCTGGCAGAGAGGACAAGTTTTGCAGTCGTAGGACAACACAGCACTTACCGCAGCGCAACATACACACTTTCAGTAAAAGGGATGTAACGAGCGATAGGAAGATTCGCTGATCACTATATTCACTGTCCGGCGGAATTGCCCCACGAGCATCCCGAAGTTTGGATGAGTCTTAGAGCTCGTGGGGCTATGCCATACCTGTGTGAACCGATCAAGTGAATTGCATTCGGGCTGGTTGTCCGGTGTCGTTCCACACTTCGTTTAGGGTAGTAATTATAATTGTGTTTAACTCCTTTTGTTAATTGACCAGCATGGAAAGCTGGAGAATGTCAAGTTATTTGTAGTTCTGTGTAGCCACCAAATGGCACAGACAGCTCGGTGAAAGACATTCAGACGACAACCAAAACCGCCGCCCGAAAGGGCATGAGTAATGGTTGCACAAATTCAACTAAGCTGAAAAACCAGCGCGTCACCGGAGTAGAGCAGTGCGAACGACAATCTTTCGCAACCTCTCCATCAAGAGTTAATTGTTTTAAGGTCAATCTGAGTCCACATTTCCCCGGAATGAGGAATTACAACAAGCGATTAAGTGACGTCTTGGATGCTAAAGGGGAACGGATTGAATTCTGCGAACAGGCTAACAGATCTATTCCCATCATCTGAACAGCTATCAAAGCTGCGATGATTACCAAAATGAGCCTCATCGGGTAATAGACTGCCAACGCCAACGCTTAAGTCCCCGGTCATAAGCACGATATAAATCTTATATCTTTTGAGAAGCGCTTGTAGATCATGATAGAAGCTGTTTTTACTGCATCCGAACTACAGCCCGCTGGAGTGTTGCAAAAAACGTTCGCTTTGTCGGTTTGCTGACTCTACGTGCGCCCCGGAGTCTCAATTAGCTATTGGGATCTAGTCCGATAAAGCAACTTCGACTCTGGTGCTCAAGGCAATATTGACGCTTATATGACCGAACGCTGACGCATCCGGATCCCCAGAAAGGCGCAAACAAAAGGCTTCTTTTGGGTTAGAGAGAAACTTTATTCGAATGACTGAGCTCTGATACTAAAGGTGTTTCCAAGAGACAAAGCCCGCTGATATCTTGATGTTTAAGTGTACGAGTCAGTCAGTTTGTTATCCTATACGCATTGTTACTTCTACAATGAAGGAAAAATGAGGTTGGAGGATTGGAATCATACACTTATGGGGCACTGCCGAAACAGCTGCTGAGGGGGGTAACTGTGGGCTACATCTATTTAAAACAGAGGCGACAATGAAAGGAGGATGTATTGTGTGGAGGGCAGATAGTAGTACTGCGAACAAGTTCGAGGACAGCGAATTTTGCGAGTGAGTACAAAAATCGAAATCATGTGTGAATGTGTCACTCCATGGGTAGATGGTGGCAGTGACACTATCCGATTACTCAGACCGAAATAGAGGGTCTTCTTAGAAGGCCCGTTCGTATCCTTTGATTACAGGTCTTAACCCACAAAGTAACGGGATAGCTCAAAAAGGCCACGATCTTCTATGAGCGGGTGACTAGCAGACCAGTTCATACACCTTTCTGAGGGGCCAACTATGCAGGGTGTACAGTTTAACCTTGGTCAGCACACTTTTCAATGAGCGTTGTGGTGATCGAGTCAAAATGTGAACCTTAGTATCCAATTCCGGGTTACGCCCACGATTGGTACCACTATGGGCTTCGTACATCAAATGTGGGCGGTGGGAGTTAGGGTTTTAGCCAACTCTTCTCGACTGACTACTGTTAATCCGGTGGAAAGCGCATAGAACTCGCCTTTGCCCTCCCAGTTTGGTGGAAACACCTCCGCCACGTGAAAGCAGTGGGTAGGACTTTTTCAGCAAAAGCTATTTGAGACGCTTGATCATTTGGGAGCATTTCTAGAAGAGTTCGGGATGACTAGGTAGCTAGAAGCCAGAAATATCCACTTCCGATCATGCTGAGGCATTTGGAAGTTTGACGGTAAAACCAAACAAAAAATGGAGAGGTTGGATGGAGAGTGCAAGGTAATCGTGAACGTGAACCAACTTTAGTGCACTGATGATTATCGGCAGCCTCAACTGATAAATTAAAAGTGGAGAAACATGCAAGATCGGATGAGGACAGGCGTGATATCGAAGCATCTAGCTTTTCGGTAGATGCTTGGTATCCGCCTGAGAGTACTTTATAAAATACAGCAAGATATGGGCCCGAATGAAGGAGAAAAAATGACCTATGGGTTTAACTTGGTCTGACTAAATATTACGTAAGCCACAAAGATTACATTCATCTGGAAGAATTTGCACAGTCAGCGCTTTTAGTTCTATGTAGATTCTCAGTTAAACCCATCACCCATTCCGTCAAGAATCGTGGGATAAGTTGTTGCAATTTGAGGGCCGAATGCTCGCGGTTCTGTGTGACCTCTAGTAACTAGTGCTTTTCCTTAAACTTGTTTATAACTTGTCCCCTGCATTGGATGGAAGAATGAAGAATTTCAGTGGTCTAAGGTTACGAAGAAACTGAGATGCACGAACGTCACTGTTTACGACATTCAACCATATTACTCACTGTCTCTAACCATCGGTTACGATCATCCGGAGGTCCCCAGCCAGGGAGCCTAGAGGGACCTAAGCGATCCAATACCCTGATTAGGGACTTTATACCCTGGTGCCAGGTTTTAGGCTGACCAAACTTGGTCTTCTTTCACCCACTACCTACCTCGGCGAACATTGCTCGCCGTGGGAACCGATTTGGTGACATGCGTAACACATGTCCTAACCAGCGTAATCCATGGAGGTCGACCACTTGCGTCAGTGGGCGTCCGCGGTTACCCAAAACTCTGCGCCTAACCTTATCATTGCTTGTCCGGTTACCCCACCAGATTCGTACAATGTTGCGTAGACAGCGGTGTTTAAACACCGACAGTCTATCGTAATCCTGTTTTCCTAATGGCCAAGTTTCTGCTCCGTATAGCAGAACTGTCTGAACTGCCGCCGCATACACTCGACCCTTCAGACAACCGGATATCGCGACGGCGCCACAGTTGACTCAAGTTTGCAAATACCAATCGAGCTTTCTGTATGCTTCAAAACGATGTACACGCATCAAGCAGTGCGAAGTTACACCTCACCACGCAACTCTAGAGAATTGGGAACACCATTGAAGTAAGCAATAATATGCGTGACGAAACTGACGAAGAACGTGATACGAAGTCAGCAGATTCCCATCAAACTCACTCGGGATTCAGAGTTCACTTCTATAATGTGTTTGTGATCTTTCTTCAATTTTTGATTCCGGCTTCGTCTCCATTCAGAGTGATTCGTGTGAGTCTCATCGTCGGAGTTACTGGACGAGGTATTTGAAGAGAGACTACCTTCAGTATCGCGCAGGTGCTTCTTTACGTGCGATCCAAAGTTCCGTATAATTCGAGCTGTATGTTGTTTATTGCGAAAAAGGAGAGGTATGCATGAAAAATGACACGAAACTGCATGTTACAGGGCCCAATTCCAACTGAAAAGAGACAAGAAAATTCATAAAAATGCATCTGTATCAAACTTCTCTAATTACCAGTGATCTCTAAAATGCTGCAAATGAAAGCTGAGGTGGAGGCAGACAGAGGTTTCGAGTATTGCGGTCATGAGTGACTGAATGGAGTAATAGATTGTGAAAATATGTGCAGCTGCTCATCGGCCTTTGTCACAACTCAAGAATTGGAAGCGCAATGGTGGTAGACGAAAAGAAAACAAAAGCGATAAGTTTGTGACCCATTTAACCAAACAGACAACTGCAATAGTTCCAACGGAAAATGCGTAGATTGCAGGGCGGGTTTTATCACCAATTTGGGTGACATTCTTAATGCAGCGTTTGTGAGTGCCACTTCCTTATATAGGTCGTTGGTGGATGCGGAGACGTGGAGTTGCGTGATTGTTTCATATTTATAGGCCTTGTATCGAAAAGAGATGAAGTGGACGCGAGAAGTCTGACGGTTTAACGTTGGTCGACCAGTAGTTGTACTGTTGCGATCAACTCTCTGTCTTTGAGCTGATAAGCCCCTTGCACTGCATGAGAGCGTAGACTTGATCGACGTCAATGTGTTGGTTGACTGAGTTTCACGATGAGTGCGAGGCATCCAGAAATTCTCTTATGTCCTTGGTGGGGGCTTGATCAACGAATTTGATGTTTTCGAAATTGAAATTGTGTCCCTTTTGGTCCTCATGAAATTAGTGGGAGTGCATTGTGTCTTTGATGACCAGTTAGTGCTTGCGCGTGTGAGTTGATAGTTTTCTCCCTACTTGACCGATGCCGTGATCATTTCAGTCCTGAGGGCTGATGCAGTAGATCCAGTTTGTTCGGTTTTCGCCTACTTTTTGCTTTTGGTTTTCGATAAGATTCTCCGTAGGTGACTTGTGTGGCCTCGGCTTTTCTCGCAGTCATTTCACACACACTCGTTTTTTTTCGGTTGTCCATTAGCACTTGTGTGTTGCGTTCAAGTTATTGTTCGTTCAGCGAAGTTGTGGGTGTAGCCGTTGTGGGGGGAACACCTTATAGAGCTAGTTTTGGCTGCTGCCCTTCGGCTACCAGTTTGAAAGGAGCAGAAAGAAATTGGGGGATTTGGAAGGAGTGTCAGTAAGAAGATAGCTAATTCAAGTAGACCAACATTATAAAGGGATTGAGAAGATGTATGATATAGTCTCAAAACTGTCTTAAGCCATCGATTACACTGATCCCGAGGTTTCCATCCCAAGAGCGTAAGCAATCAACATGTCCAATTCTCCTGGTCAGGGTTTTCATACCCGTGTGCCAGGTTTTAGTTTGATTACCTTTTCCCATTCTTCCAGCCAATTCCTGAATCGGAAAACACTGCAAATCGGGACGGCCCAGTTGGCGACATGGATAACACATGCCCCAGCCAAAGAAGCCTGTGGAGGTCGAGCACTCGTCCCAGCGTGCGACTGCGATTACCTAAAACTCTAAGGCTAATCTGTACATTGAGTGGTCGGTTGAAACATTAGATTCCTACGTGGGGCAGACAGTTGTGTTAAAACACCAACAGTCCACCTTTCACCTATTTTAGTAATGGTCAAGTAGCTGCATCATACCGCAGCATTGGTCGAACTACCGCAGAATATATCTGAGCTTTCACACAGCGCAACGCCGCGACTGCGCCGTAGATACTTCAAGTTGAAGTTGGGTTTGAAGAACGCAGTGTGATCATTGAAGTAAGCATGAGTATTTCCAAGACAGTTTAAATTTAAAGATTCACGGATTCATGCTAAACTACCGTGTTGATCGATCTGATAGTGTACTGACATTAAATGCGCTCAAGTAAAACGGAGATCTGGAGTTAATCAATTCAGTAGCTTGTGACAAACTAGTCTTCCTATCTAACTGCTGAGTGATATCCCATGAATGGAAGAAACACGGGGCATCTAGTATGATTTGGGAATGAGAAGAAAAACTAGACAGATAAGGAGGCTTTTCCTAATTGGTGCCTGAGACTTTAGGGCATGGCACAGGTCGCGGTAACCCACGCCGGAGAAGTGTTTTTTCTTTGCGAACCCTACATGCAGCCTTCAACTACATAGCCTAAAACACAAGGAAGTGGGACGTAGGTTCAACGTGCGGGCACCATGGTGGGAGCCTCTACAGACTTGTCACACAATCTTCGGGTTTCCGTTGGACAGTTTGTACATTAGTGTGTTGATTGTAGGACGGTTCGGGATCCACACTTACCGTCATACACAAAACTGGATAAACGGGTCGCTAGGAGAGGAACAGCTTGAGCTGATGCAGGTGTTCAATGAAGTGCGGGAGTGAATAGCCAAAAGATACCAGGAGGAACTCTATCAGCTGGTTTCGTATATACAGGCGTATGAGGAATTTTCGTACACCAGTCACTATGGAAGAATAGTATGCTTTTCTGCGTGCTTGAACGTATTGGTACATGGAGCGAACGGAGGAGATTGAAGTACATTAAGATAATGCGAAGTTAAGAGCACGAAGGGCGTCAGGCAGTAATATGTGAACCATTTCGGGTGTGTCGGGAGATAATCTGATGGATTAGGTGAAACTTGGGTGAACCACAATAAATGTTTGAACGATCTAGATATCACACATATCCTTTTGTAATAAACTAGGAAAAATCACTGGGGAAGCATAGAGTCAGTGTGGTGAGATGCATGTAGATTTACAAAGTGTTTTATCAAATGGGATGGAATGGATAAGCGCCTTGGGCGTAGGGCAAAATAGAGAGCTTTCTGACTTTTACAAAGACATTGGTGATAGGCCCAGACCTATAAAGCGATTGGTTAAGAACACCCAAGTATTTAACTGATGTTCCCCGACTGAGAGGTTTATCGTTATTAAATAGCTGGTACATCTCGTGAGAATCAGAGTAAGGTTCACCCCTGTGGAGAGAAGATAAAACATCAACATGCTTAGACGGGTTGTGTGCAGAAGAGCACCCGTTAAGTTGTGAAAGGTGGGGAAAACAGAATGTTTAGTATATGGCAAGCCAAAGATGACGTCAGCAGCGAATTTCATCAGCAAGGAGTCATTGCGAACAGACATGGAAGCTAACTACATGGAAATGGAGAGGAATGGCTCCTCGAAGAACCCCTGATTCGGGATCTTAGGGTGAGGAGACTTCGACACCGTAGCGTATAAGCTGTTTTTCGAAAGGGAAGACAGTAAATCTGAAGGGCAATGGTAGGTGGAGGGACCGTGTGATTTGCGAGAATAGACAGAAGCTGAACTCTATTAACGCTTCCAAATGCGTCCCTGTAGTCTCAAAAGCACATTCAAAAAGCTTTATATTTAGGATCTAGCGATGACAAAATAAGGGTGAGAAGCTAGAGCACCAAGGTAGACCATTTACGACAGTAGGTAAATTGATTAGTATGGAAGTAAAAGCTATGGGACGAAATTTAGTGGAACCTTTCTGGGGGGTTGGTGTAAGGCTGACTGTTTATGAATCCCGAATATTCAATAGTCATGCATCGCCCTCAATTCTCAACTAAATAGAACAACCGTAGCGATTGCAATACAGTTTCGGAACGAGCGATACAAGCACTTGAACTATTAAATCGATTATTTTGTCAACTGTGGCAAGAAATGACTGCGACTACAACTGTGCTTAGACTAGAAAATGAAATATTGAAGTATAAAGCTGTTTCAGGTCTAGACATCAATTACGGTGATAAATTCGACAACTCTACTTTGTCACGGCTGGCTCCTTGGGAAGCATGAGTCGGTTTAGATAAAGACAAATTAGAAACAGCACAAGGTTGAGCAAGAATGTAGGTGCATGAATAAGCAAGCAGCTCACCCAGTTCCTTTTTACGTTGTACATTGTGAGACAAAACGCCAGAAATTTGACGAAACGCAGCGTCATTAGCCCAAGGGAACAAAGCCAGTCGACCGTTGGCATCTGGTTTGGTTAATAGAGCAGCCTCTGCGGAATCACGAGCCTGATGCCATGCTCCTTGCAGGTTGGGACGAATCATGAATTGACGCAAAGCCTGTAGAAGAAATCGTTTTTCGAATTTTTCATCCGGTGCTTTGCACAATTAGTAAAACGTAAAATACCGCACTCCGCCCCCACAATACCACAACCGAGCAGTCCAACTCTTATCCCTGCATACTCATCTTTTACATCTAGTTGTATACATTCACCAGCTCGCTGCTACATTGGAAACCAACATGCGGCTCCTTGTGCAAGACGTTGGAAGGACAGATATTCAACCACTGGTGATCGGGAGCTATCTACAAAACTAATAGTCATAAAAAAACATCAAACAACTCTCTAAGACAACAATATCAGATTATTGAATGTTTTCAGAAGGTTCAGCAACGAAAGCCACTGCCCGAGCTTGACTTCCTTATTCCCAGTAGGTTAATCTGCGCAAAGTTCTCTATGTTTTCCGATAGACGTCCGGAACAGCAGTAACACTGCCATAAACTGCTTGCTAAAAAGAAACAGCTTAAGTGTCAGATATATCATATTTTGGTTCTCTTGTTTATACACCCTTTTCTATTGCGTATAACATAAACCTCTTTCTTTCTATTACAGCTCAGGTACCGAATTTATTAGTTGAGTAAAGCGTATAATTCGGTCTCCGAGTCTTCTCCGTCCCGCTCTCGTTTGCTTGATTCGTAAAACGTTACAATTTACTCAACTAATAATGGACCGTTACCTTCGACCCGACAAATTCGATGTCGACCTGAACGCCCCTGACGCTTCCAAACAATGGACCTACGGGATACTCACTTTCAACGCCTTTCTAAAGCGAATTCAGTCCGATGACACAGACAATCTGGACCTACTCATCAATGTTTTGGCACCCTCTATTTATGAACACATCTCTGATTGTAAGACATTTGAAAACGCTATCTCCCTGCTCGAATCGCTGTACGTTCGCCCCAAAAACGTTGTATTAGCGCGGTACCTACTTTCTATTTGTAAACAAGACGCTGGGCAGAATATAGATCAATTTGTTCAAAATATCAAAACGCTCGTTAAAGACTGTAATTTTCGAGCCGTCTCAGCCGAAGAATACTGAGACGATGCTATGCGCGACGCATTCATAACGGGACTGCAGTCTCATGTCATTCGTACGAGACTGCCGGAACGAA